AAAAAGAAATATCCTCATCTCCTGGGCCAGAATCCAAGCTTCTGCTTTAGAGAGACTTAGCCTATTTAAAAGTGTGTCTAATGCATAGATAATGAATGCCTTCGCTGAAATGTCACATGCCTCTCTGGTGATGGAGACTTCATCTAGACATAGAGTTTTCTTCCCTGTTTTGAATATTATAGCAGAGAGCATGGGAAGTAGGTCTTATTCAGTCTCCAATGTTTCATAATTTGTTCTTGCCCATTATGCAGCCGAAAACAACTCTCAAAACAATGTTGCAAAAGCCACCAAGATCTTTCTTAAAGGACACGTTAGTTGTAAACTTAGAATCCTTGATCTCAATTCATTTTATTCTTCCCTCACTGGAAAATCCCCTCCACTCCTGAGGGCTAAGGAAAACAGAGCCTCCGCACAAACAAAGCCAGACTCTAAATCCAGACCACTTTTCCTTTCATGTAGTTGATGATGCTAAGAAATGACGTGCTTTCTCCCAGGAAGTAGAAACGTAACACAGTCAGGGCACCGCCTCACTCTTTGGTTCAGAGACAAGATTAGGGAAACAGAATCTTCATGTGGGATTGCTATAAACTGGGTTATGAAACTAGGTCATCTTATCTTTAGAAACGTTGAATGAAAGGCCAGGGGAGGCAGGTGTGTGTGCGCTTGTGCATGTACGTGCGTTCTCATTTTTGTCTTGTTTCAAATGACAAGTCCTAGCAGACCTGTGCCTTCTTTACAAGCTTCAGGTCTCAGCATCTTTACCTCTGGGTTTGGGTGTCAACCCTCAGAGTGACTCCCACTCAGCCGTTTTCCCCACTTGCATTCCCATTTCAAAAAAATCTCAGGTTAATCAAGAGATCAGATTGCTGAGAGTGTGGGGAATGAAACAAATATACACTTTAGAAGGTTCTGGATCTGGCCAGCCCTGTTAATAGTGGGAAAAGAGTGCTTTCATGTACTCTCACCAGTCTTTTTCTTAACCCAAATTGTGAAAATTATAAGCAAACTTATACTGGTTGTTGGGGGAAATCATAGAATCCTACAACTTCATAGGTCACTAAGAGTATCCAGGCCTGATCTTTGGCAAGTTATTAGCTAACCTGGCAATGTCCAGTGAACATATATATCAGGTGTAGAGTAATTCTAAATTTTCTAGTAGCCACATTGAAAAAAGTGAAAAGAAATTGCTAACGTGAATTTTAGCACCATGTTTTGTTTTACCAAATATGTCAATAATATTACAAATTCAGCATGAAATCAATATAAAAATGATCAGTGAGACAGTTCACATTCCTTGTTCACACAAAGTCTTCAGAATTTGCTGTAAATTTTACACAGACAACGCATCTCAGTCAGTGCTGACTACATTTCCAGTGCACAACAGCCATCTGCTTACTGGGCAGCACGCATCCAAACCATCCGAGACAGGTTTCACCTATTGTTACTGTGAAGATTTCTTTCCTTTCTCTATAAGGACATTTACATAGGTTTTTTATTTATAATCTTCTTATTGTTTTAAACACTTTTTATGAGTAAATATCTTCATTTTTTGTACACTATTGGCTGCTGGTGTCAGTGCACTCTGTCTGGCTTATTCAGTCTATAACTCTCCCCCCTCTCCCAATTTTTCTATTTTGCTTCTTTACATTACTAAGACTTCAGTAGAACTTGAAGGCAAACAATCATATCTCTATGTCTGTCTGTCTGTCTGCTTATCTATCTATCTATCTATCTATCTATCTATCTATCTATCTATCTATCTATCCGGATATATAGGTGGATCTCTATTCTTGGATAGATTGTATGAGGCAGAGGATACAGTAAATCAGAGTAAATCATTTGAGTAAATCAGAGCAGGAGATAAGTTTTTGGACTTTGAGGAACAGACTAAAAATAAGAGAGATATTCCTAGGTACATCTATAGACAGCCGTCTCGGCACTCACAAATACAGAATGTTATCTTCATCTAGAAATGGGTGAGCTATATTTTTTTTTGTCTGCCACAGATGGGTATTCTGAGTTTTACACTATTTAAGATTGTATATTGGATGAATGTCTAAAGAAGAGAAAAAGAGGTTCCTGGTTAGGGAGAACTGAATGCACAAAAACATGGTACACAAAAGGGCAAGAATGGCTCTATTTAGACAAGAGCAACAAGAGTGTTAAATGTATAAAGGTGAATAAAGAAGGTTAAGGACAGACAGATTGATGCCATTAATGGAAGGTCTAGTATGTGCACTTAAATTTTGGGGTTCGTCTTGTAAATAATAGGGAATCATTTAAGCATTCTGAGCTATGTTTTCAAGGGGATTAATTCTACAGCAGTGGAAAATATCAGAGGGAATGTCAGAATTAGAGTTCAGAGCAGAAGGAACTAGGACTCAGAGGATGGTACTGCTCGGTGAATAGTAAATTACTTAGGGGTAGATGTAGATAATAAAAGGAAATACAGATCAAAATATGAGCAAAGAGAAGAGGGCTGTAGTAGTTGGGTAGACTGAGTGGAATAAATGAAATACTCACATGTAAAGGGTAAATACAGAAGGGTAGCAGACTGCAATGTGCCAGGTAGGTTGGGTAGGGTTTTGGCTCCGTTCCATAGTTATTCAATGACCCATTCAGACCGTTGCTCTGACATCTTCCTCAGAAGGCTTCTAAAGTCACCCCAGAGTTGACTTTACAGGTATCCAGTTTGAAAGAAGAGCATGTGGGAGGTTTTAATGGACCAACTCTGAAAATAGTCCTCACCACTCCTGCTCATGTTCCATTCATTAGAACTTGGTCACATTGCAAAGACATTGGGTAATAAGGTCTACTTGTGTGTTCAGGAAGAAAAGGAAAGAAAAAAAAAAGATTGTTTTAAACACTTTGGTGAATGGTTAGCAGTCTCGGCTATAAAGACCTAGGAGAAGCTAAACTTCTAAATGTATAGATTTTCCTTCCATTAGGATTATTTTCATAGGGTACATTTACAAAAGTGAGATTACTAGGTACATTTGTGAATGTCTTAATTTATTATATTGTTTCTTTAAATGCCTGTGTGTGGTTGTTTCCTTTTTCCTTTACCCAGGATCTACCTTGTTAACTTTGAGCTTAACACTGCATCTGTGTTTTCATGTCTCTTTCCTTATAATCCCTCTTTCTCTCCTTAGATATGGCTACGTTGGCACATCTCTCCTCCTCTCTCCCCTTCTTCTCTGGTGACTGCAGGGCAGAGAAGTACCAAGTCTAATAGATCAGTCATAGACATGTTCTACAATCTATTGTCTCAGGCTTGAAGAGGTGGGGTAGGGTTTACTGGATTATTGGATTTCAGACTCTACTGTACAGAGTCACCTCCAGAACTTTGAAAACTCCTGGTGCCCAGGTTTCACTCAGAGCAGTTAAAAATAAACTCTTTGGGAACGGTGCCTGGGTATTCTTAAAAACTCCCCAGGTCATTTAACGAGCAGTCACATTTGAGGACCAGTGCGTTAGAACCACTGTGGCAGGAAGCCTCCATCTTTTTCTTTCCATCTTCCCTTTGAAAGATTAATCTTTATTTCTTTTTTTTTTTTTAACATATTTTATTGATTTTTTTACAGAGAGGAAGAGAGAGGGATAGAGAGTTAGAAACATTGATGAGAGAGAATCATCGATCAGCTGCCTCCCGCACACCCCCCATTGGGGATGTATCCGCAAGTAAGGCACATGCCCTTGACTGGAATTGAACCCGGGACCTTTCAGTCTGCAGGCCAACGCTCTATCCATTGAGCCAAACCAGTTTTGGCAAAGATTGGTATTTCTAATCAGACTCTCCCTCCCCCCAACAATGAGGTCAGCTAAGCAGTCCTGCAGTGTCTGAATCTGGTCAGGCTTATCAGCAGGATGGGATGCAGTGCACCTGGGTTGGTACTTCCAGTGTTTTTTTCACCATTTCCCCACTGTGATTTGTATTTCCTTTTTAAAAAAAAGAGTTGGCAGGATTTTTGCTGTGTTAAGGATTTCCTAGTATTTGCTGCTATAATTATGTGTTTTATTTCCACGTTCTCTGGTAGTTTAGTCGGTGGATTAGTCCACTAACACAGTGCCTGGCACCAGTGATGTGGAATAAAAGTTTATTGACTGAGTAAAGAATAAAAGGATGAAAAATGGATTTTATTCTAAAAATGGTTAGTCTTTCAAGCTGGATGATAAATTCCCATTGGTTAGAATATTTTAGGTTGTGGAGATCTGTTTCTTTAGGAAACCTAGCAAAGAAATGCCTTTTTATTTATTTGCTTATTTTTACAAATATTCTTCCCATTCACCACTATGTGAAAACTTTTAGAGTCCAAACCTATTGCTGTTTTCTGTTTGCCACTGGAAGTATTTGAGAAGTTTCAGAAGCAGAGAAATCTTTTAATTTGAAAAATTTAGAATTAATTGGGTGATGACACTTCTGAACTGGCACAATGTTTGAATTAGTAGAAATTTATTAGGCATTTGAGTACACAGTGACTTTCAACTTCAAACTGAGTTTCGGAAAATCTCTGGCTTAGAAATAGAGTTTACCCATTACTGGCATAGATGTATTTTCAAATAGTCTTAACTTAAAGTGCTTTACTACTGCTACCCTCCTTCGTAGCTAATTTGCTCAGCAAAGGCAATTTTGAATAGAATTTATTTTATTTAATTGTCATGGAAATTGTGCAATGCTGGGTCTTACATTGAACAACTTGAGGGTTTTTCCTCATTTATTCAATATATATTTCAAAGATTACCACATCCGTGTGTAAAGCTTCTATAGACCCAATGTCTGCTTTAGTTACTGGCTCAAACTTTCCCCAAACTCCTTTTCCCATTTCCAGAATTTTTTTTTTTTTTTTTTTAAGATTTACACTTGCAGTATTTTCAGGGGAAAATGAAAAGTGTTTAAACTCCTTGGGTTCACCAATTTTCTTGCATCCAAAATCAAAATTTGAGAGCTTCCTCTTTAAGTCTGAAAGAAAACTGAAGTGCTGTGGGTCCTTTCCTTCCAGGAGAATGCTGTGAACGGAGAGCACCTGTGGCTGGAGACCAACGTCTCGGGAGACCTGTGCTACCTGGGCGAGGAGAACTGCCAAGTCCGATTTGCAGTGAGTGTGCTCCTCAGGCCTCCGGGCTCTGCCCTCGCTGGCGGGGCGGCTGCCGAATGGAGTCTGAAGACAGTGGGTTCCTGGTGCTTGAATTTCCAAGGAGAAGTTTGAAAGAACTTGTCCCGTGTTGACAGAAAGAGTGTATCAAGTTAAATGGGCTTCCAAAGAGTCAGCTTGAATGGTGCTAGGGCTTGACCCTGCATGCCACACCTTGTTTTTAATGTGGAACCTTTGGTGGCACCCAGGGTTGGTTTTGGTTTGTGTGTTGGGTGAGAAGGAGGGAGAATGTGCAGGAGGGGTTGTGTGCTTAGGTAGGTGTCTGTGTGGGTGACAGGTGTATGTGTGGAGGAGGGGTCTCTGTGGGAGCGGTGGCTCACGCCTTTGCAGGGGAGTGTGTTTGCCAGTGGGCATAACTGGTGGGTGAAAGTGGGGATGGGCAGAAACTCCTGTCTGGTGTAGGTATAGATTAGCAAATAAGTTCTGGAGGGTAAAATTCTAGAAACCATATAAAGGATCAACAGTCAACTACATTGGCATATCCTTTGCTTTTTAAAATTTACTTTGTGTCCTTGTTTAGAACAATCTGTTTAAATGTTAAATTCTTTTTATGCTCTGTGAAGAGAACATGGTTGCCAGGCAGTAAATTGTGAGGACTAAAATTCTAGTGTTTGAAGAGTAAACTTAACATTTTTGTGTAGCTTAGAATTGTGAGTCTGAAAACAGAGTCTCCAGAAATTGGAACAGTAAAAAAGAAAGAAATGTTCCATCTTGGGAAATGGACATTGTAATTGAAATAATATTTTTTTTCCTTGTTATGTTTATCATGTGAAAGAAAGATTTGGGGCAAAGTGGACCTTGGAGTTACAAGTGAGTGTTTCTGTTAATAACTAATGAGGAAGGAGCTGAATTTCTGTCAGAGCTTATAGAGCTTATAGAAAACCATAGCCCCCACGGACTTCTATCAGGCTGCCTGGGATCACAAAGTTGGGAATCAAGACCTTTAAATTCGCATTAACTGTTTCAATTCCTAGTTTATAGATTTTCCTTAGAAAACTTCATGCAAATTTTGGGGGGGCCAAGGTTTGTTGAGTGAAGTTGGGAATAGTTAAATGTCTAAGAAGGCCCAGCAATACAGCCTCTCAATTTAAAGTCAGGAAATCTGGGTTTGGATCTCAATGTTAACCATTCATAGTGTGACATTGAGAACTTTATATCTTTAGGCATTCTGTACCTTCTCAGTAGAAAAATGGAGTAAGATTAAGTTATTTTTAATTTTGCTTCCAATTCATATATAAACTTAATTGTTTATATTTCTTTTAATCTAATTGTACATTTAAATATCATTTCAACTTTACGCATATGTATTTTAAAAAATATATATTTTATTGATTTTTTACAGAGAGGAAGGTAGAGGAAGAGAGAATTAGAGACATCAATGAGAGAGAAACATCATCAGCTGCCTCCTGCACACCCTCCACTGGAGATGTGCCCACAACCAAGGTACATGCCCTTGACCGGAATCGAACCTGGGACCCTTGAGTCTGCAGGCCGACACTCTATCCACTGAGCCAAGCTGGTTAGGGTGCATATGTATTTTTAATGAAAGTATAATTGATTAAATTAACCAAAACCAAGAGAAGCTCAAATCCTATAAATAATGAATTAACATTATTATCTTAGATAATTGCATAAATACTGGTCTTGATAATATGAAATGGAAAAAATGAAAGCTAATCTCACTTGTATATATACTTCTAAAATATTATCTACTGCTATTGCTGCCAACTGTTAGACTGTTATGGAGTTCTGTCTGATTTTCAAATTACTGCCTTTAATTCTTTCTTGTGCTCTGTTAGGGTCAGCCACATATTTACCTCTGTTGGTAAATCTTGTATCGGTAGCTGGCATTGCTATCTACTGATTAAAACTTGATCACTGTTCCCTCTAGACCAGGGAAAACAACAAGAAAAATAAGGGAAATTTTAGGTAGAGGTAAGGAGTTGATAGAATTGTGAAAATTTCTAATGTTCTATTGAATCTCAAAATTTTTTTTCCAAATATTGCCTCTATTAACTCATTTTACAAAGTGTCTTGACAATGAAGAGCTCTTGTCTAAAAATGTTGGTAAAATGAAGGCATAAATCAGCGAAGAAGCTGAAGACCTAACTGTGTCTCCTCATTAGAAGTTTCTAAAGGCTCAGTTTCTTCATCTATAAAGTGAGGAAAATGTTGTTTGGAGAATTGGTTGACATAATGCATTAAAAGGACTTCTTTGCCATAGTGACTGACATAATGAATTACAAGGAGAAAAAAGGACAGAAGCAGACAATCCACAAAAGAATATATATATGAAAAATATAAACAAAGGCAGCCAAATTAAAAAACAAACAAACAACAACTATGAAGAGTCAACATCATGTGCCTTAAATTAGTAAGGATCTGCAAAATAATAATAATACATACTGCTGGTTAGTTTAAGGCCCAAATGGGTACTCTCATTGTTAGCTGGCAGGGGCATGAACTGATATACTTCCCAGTATGGAAGTACGGCAAAGCATTGAAAATCTAGCTCTCGGCCCATTTGTGGCATCACAATTTTAGAGGGACATTGACAAGCATGAGAGGATGCAGAGGAGTGTGCTTACGTGAGTTTGCAGTAGGGAGCTTTGTAGAAGGAAGAGTTAAATAATCTGGGTTGAAGAAGAGTATTAAAGAGGGAAGGAAGAGAGCCTGACCTCTTCTGGTGTTTGAAGAACTGCCAGGAAGAAAAGAGAAGTAGGTGTCTTGCTCTTTGTTGTCAGAAAGGTCGTACTACTCTAACAGTGGACCTCACACTCTGGTAAAATAAACGTCATCTGGGAAACCTGTTAGCGGTGCAGGTTATTATTCTCTCTCTGCTCCAAATGCTGATTCACTAGGCCTGGAGCCGAACTTGAAAATCTGTGATTTCAGCAAACACCTCAATTAATTACAGAGTAGATGGTCCACAGAGCTAACTTGGAAAAATAGTGGATTATAGGAACTTCAATGAGAGCTGCCCAGTAAGGGAACAAGGTGCCTGAAGAGCTGGGCTCAAAGAGGGTGGAGGGGCATCTTGATACCGTGTGTGTGTGTGTGTGTGTGTGTGTGTGTGTGTGTGTGTGTGTGTGGTGGGGGGTGTGGGTTACACATCTGCTTTGAGTAAGAGGTTAGACAAGAATATCTCAAAGAGAGCCTCCAGTTTGAGTGTTTTATTTGCAATTTTCTTAGTCTTGAACAACATTTTTTTGGTAAGAAAAATGAGAGTATTATATTCTCATTTCTTTTAATGAGCCACCTTTGAAGAAAGCTGACCTGTGAGATAGGGACCAAATGACCATAACCAGATGCTACCTGCAATCTTCTGAGTGAAGAGCAGGCAGAGTGCTCAGAGGTGGAATGAATCCACCACTGAAGAGTGCTCCCTCTCCTTTTCCTAATTTAGTAAAGCAAATGTCACAGCAGAAGTTCAGAGGAGGGAGGAGTCAATGTGGATTGAGTAGACAGAGGCGGCTTCTTGGAAACAGGGATTGAATACAGTTTTGAAAAATGGACAAGATTTACATAAGTGGAGTTGAGGAGGGAGAACATTTCAACCAGGGAGAGGAACATGAGAGAGCTCAGAGGTAGGAGACCACCATGAGACATGCATGAGCACCCACAGGGCATGTGTTAGGTAAGAGGATCTGTGTGTGTGTGTGTGTGTGTGTGTGTGTGTGTGTGTGTGTTTGGTTTTCAGAACCATAACTTGGAGTGCATGTTATAAATGCCTGTGCTTACGAAGCATGGCCTATACTATATTGTCTAAATCAAGACTAGTTGCAGGTGAAAGTTACTGCTGCTGTAACATCAAGGGTGACCTGCATTGGGGACACTGTCACCCTAACTTATGAGGACATTGCCATAGTCTATTTCAAACCAAAGCTGTCCTGCAAACTCATGACCTCCTGCTGCCTGGTTGATATTTGGGGGCTGAGAGTGGAGGGCACTGAATGCAAAGCAGCTACATGACAGGCTCAGGAAGACTGTTGAAGCAGAGTTTGCCCCAAAGCCTCGGGGCTGACCTGGATGACCTTTAACATCCTTCCTCTTTTGTGTTTCTCTAGAGGCAACCTTCAATACGGTAGAATGTCTGTGAGCAGTTATTTAATGGGATTAAAGTTATTTTCAGATCAGTGACAGTACCCAAATTAGTAACTGTTTCTTTTTCTGGTCTAAAAAGGAGAAAGGGATGCAAAAAATAATGAAATTGGAGCAGAAGGATTGCTGTTTCCCAACATGACTGTGGAGGGAAATTTAAATAAAATTCCAACCGGGGCAACTCCTGTTTGTTGATTTTTGCTCATTGGATGAACATTTGCTCATTCATTTGTTCTATTGAAGTGGTATAGGCTGAGTGTCCATTATCAGAAACTTTAGTGTTGAGAGTGACAGTGAATTTAAGTGACATCAAGACAGTTTCGTGGGTAGAAATCATTCTCATGTTTGTTGACAAGATATACAAAGATGTTCATCCAATATTCCCAAAGAAACTCACGCCTCTACAAATAATACCCAGAGCACATACCTGTTTTCACACTTAAGATACTTGCTTACACCATATGAGGATATACACTTCCTTAGTCAGACCTGCCTAAATGCATGTAGACACAGACAGGCAACCTGTAGTAGCAAGAAAGTGGACTTTGTGTGGGACTGACCTGGGTTTGAATCCTGCTATTCCAGCTCTATCCTGAGTGAACTTGGGACACATTGTTTCACCTCTCTTGCCTCCTTTTTAAATTTAAAGTATTGTTTAAGGTCAACCTCGGTGGTTCTTATTTCTGGATGAGCATTGCAGTCACTTGAGAAACTTGATTTTTTAAATGGTTGATTCCCAGCCTAGAGCTACCACATCAGACTGTCCAGTAAGTGGCACTGGGCATGATCGTGTTGAAAGAAACAAACTGTACAGATGATTCTGTGTGCTCTCACACAGGTGG